CAACTGAACTCCAGACTGCAAATTTATAGCCAAAGGCAACAACCATATCATGGCTGTAAATCAGCCCTTTTCTGTGTTTGCATATAACATTATCATCATTATTATTATTGTTATTATTATTTTAAGGGAAAGTACTATGGAGCCAAAATCAGCATGTCCAATTAGCAGGAGAGACTACACTTTAAGTTCAAAAAATCCTTTTGCGTTATCTGATTCCAATAGCACTAGTAATGGAGCTTAATCTAACCTGTCATTTCAAGAGCTATAGGGAGAACAAATTGCTGTCGACTGGGGAAAGGTTTGGAACACCATGCAGCCTGTCCTCTCCTGACATCCTACTCAGCAAATTCCTCACAGATTTCCTCCTGATGTTAGTAAAACTAACATAAAGGTTATTTCACAAAATCTTGTGTGGATTGCTAACTTGTGAAAACCAAAGGACCCATGCCCAGAACAACAATACAGACTCAAGTAAATAATCATAGCATTTGTCCTTTGTGCTTAAATCTTAACAAATGAGTGAAACAGAGAAGGGGCTGAAGAGTTCCCATGCCAAGTACCAATGCTGTGAGCACATATTGAAACAAGTAGCCAATAAATGTCAAAATCAAGGTGACTGATCATATAAAAACTCCTTTGACTGGAGACTGTTAGGAAAGGTTTCCAGTTTAATACGCAATACGATGAGGGGTGGGAAGAAAAAAACAGTAGAGTTAAGTATTAAATGCTAAAGTCATTATACCAGCTATTTCTTCAGGGAACACAATCCCTTCAGCAGATCAGGAATGCTGTAAGATATAGAGACGTGATCAGGGCAGACAGTGGGAGGACATTTGTTACCAGTGTTAGACTGGCAGGCAGTATCCCCAGAAACAATTTTGGAAGCCTGGTGAAACAACAGATAGGCAAAGTTTGGGGATTTTGGTATTTACGTTCTGAAATAATGTCGTACAACTGATCAGAAACTTTTCTTATTTACCACGATGCCATCAGAAATACAGATGGATGTCCAAAATGATAATATTAAGCACTCCTTTCCAGCACACAGTATTTCAGCCAAGATCACTGGTATGTTCTGGCTACTTCACGCTACTCTAATTAAAACTCAGTCATCCTTACAGCTGCTTCGTATTCCTAGAGCACTGCACAACAGCTGGATCATGCCGTTGATTTTGGCCCTTAAACTCTTTGGAAATTACTGTGTGAATATCAAAACTTTGGCCCTTTCTGTCACCATTTAAGCTTAAGTTCACCTGCGTCTCTGACTTCAGCACACAACACCTTTGCATTTGGATAACATGTTGGAAACGGATCAACATCGTAACTGAAGACAGAGTAGGTGTTAGCGTTACACTGATTTTGGCAGGCTTTTACACAAAGAAAGGCTGTTAGGGGCAATGTCCCCAGGAGTGACAGACTGTCTGCCACACTTACTGTGATGTAAGACTTGCTGCCAAATAAATCTACAAGTGCTAAAGAAATTTTTAAAACGGACAAGTTTAAATTGCTTTAGCCACAATCATATTCTAATTAGCTAGTTGATACAAAACTCCAGATCAATTTGTTAAGCTGCTCTGCTGCTGTATTAATGAATTAAAAAAAAAAAAAAATTGCATTTGTCATTTGTGGGCCTATAAGTAAAAGCACACTTTAAATATGAATTCCTTATTTCTCTGTTAGCATGCTTATAAACCTATAGTCAACTACTCAGTCTTTGTATGGCTCCATAAATTGTTATCTCAGCTCCCACAGGGACAGATGGATTAAAGTGGCTGTCTTGAGTTATGATGTGACAGGGCGACATACCACCTTTTGTGAATTCTAACATATCCAGCTAAGTGCATCTGGTTGATTATGCGATGCTTGAGGTGGATGATGTGTCTCAACTAGTCATGAGTTAAATTTAAAATTAATTATGCACCTTCAGGTCTAACAGTTGAGTCATCTTACTACAGAGAAATCACTAATGCAACATGTTACTAAGCAGAATACACTGCAATGTAATAGTCTGTTTTTCAGTGGAAAACATATGTAAGACAGACTTGCAATATTTATTCTTAAAACATGTAGGATGTTCTAGAGTCATGAAGCCATTCACTGTAAGCCATGAAAAATAGGTTTGGTTTAAAGATGAAAGTGGCTGGAGGCTGTGACCCACAGGGACTCAGAAGGAAACACTTAGAAAATAGAGACAGATTGAATCCCAAGTGCTCTCTCCTGAGAGGAAGCATGGTTGGAAAGTTTAAAACCCATTAAAGTTAAACAAATTGAAAAGTCCTATCTGAGAGGAAACATAGTACAATGTTTATTTTTCCATTACAAACCTGAGACTAAAAGATTTCCTGAGGCTCTCAGGTATTGTTCATTCTTATAATGGAGATCTGTTTTTAGAACGCCTAATTCATGTGTTTAATCCAAACTGTTGATGAAAAACACACTGCATAAGCATTCAGGAAGTTAAAGGCCATTGTATACCTGTATCACATGTTGTTTGGATAGGAGCAGACCTACAATGCAAGGAATCTCATCATGAAACTCTCTCATTCGAAAACATTGGGCCTAATTCTCTCCCCATTTATGCTACTGGATGAATTCCACTGAATTAATGATGACATGAGTTACCACTGATAATAAAAAGACAATCTTCCTGCTGAGTGTGGAACTACCAAAATGCAAGGCTAATGTGAGAAAGAGATTTATAACACTGGCCTGAGACAACGAAGTATCAAGCCATAGCAAGCCCAGCGTAACATTAGCCAGGCTGATTAGTCAATGTATTTTTCCCATCTTTAGTGAATTGCTGCTCTGAGATCCTTATCAGAAAAGTGTGTGATGTTACTGATGTTGAGAAGCATCTGTTTGACTAATGAACAAGCTGCAAACTAAATCCAGAGATGAATTTAAGTGAAAGATTTGGAAGCAGTGTGATATTATTCATTAGGTCTATTGATATAAAAACTGGGCAAGTTTCAGACATACAGACCATTCTTCAGCTTTCTTCAGTCAGTTTGTTCAAATTGCAGTTGATCTAAAGCAAGATATTTCTCTGTGCACATCCTACTTTCTAGTGGTCTTAGACTACCTTGGGTTAACTGGATTTAAGTCAAAAATTAAGGTACCAGACAATATGACCATATACAAAAGTAAATTGGAGTGAGGCAACATAAACTCCTGAGGGTTTCCCTTGCCTGTTATACAAGCAATTTCAAGTAGTGTGAAGAATATCTAATTTTTAGAGGACCAACTTATATTTTACATTTGAGTTTGGCCCTGAATCAAACCTAAATTCACTATTGCCTTTGTATTGTGTATGACAAATATCTTGATTACAAATAACAATCAAGGTATTCTACAGTTAAACACTGAAAATAATTACAAAGACCTGCTTCAACATAACATAGGAAGGTGACAGGATAGCAATATGGGTCTGTATATAAACATATATGAGTATCCTATGCATATCTGTTTAATAATGCTAAGTAATGAAATGCACACTGATGAACCCATCCTGTCTTCTGTGCCATTGTTAGTCAGTGACACGGGATGAGACCTTACATGTTAAATGGGATTTTGAGGGCTATCAACCTCCCTGGATAGTCTGAAAGGTCAAGGGGGAAGAAAGGAGAGAGGTGTTCATAGGAGAAGACAACAGACAGGCAGATAAACTAATTTTAGTTGAATGTGTTGTGTGGATGACAACTTGAAAAGGGATGATGGGTAAGTAAGAGAAGATCTGTGAAAAGATTTGAAGATAAAGAAAGTGGTTTAATTTGATATTGCTGGGTGGTATTCAGCAGAGGGAATCAGAGAAGACTGTTGTTTGACGAGGATGATAAACAGGAAGGATGATTTTCACAGCTAATGTTCTGTGTGACACCAAGGCTATGTTACTTGTAAACTAAACAGGCCCAGGGACCCCGTTCCATCTGTGAGGTCAAATAGCAAAATCCAGCCATGATTGTACTACTAAACTCTCTTCTTTCACAGAACAGGATGGATCTGGACTTGGCCTGTGCTAATTCCTGAATTGTGCCCAGGAACTGGTTGGCAGAGTGCTAGTTTGCCTGGAGCTAAAGTGTGCCAAGGAGTGTGCTAAAAATTTAGCAGTACAGTAGGTCAAGTGCCAGAACTCAGGAGCATTTGCTTTCACTGCTTAATTTCCTAGGATAGTCATAGTCTAAAAGCACAGTGTAGGTGCTCAAAAGAGCAGAGATATGAGCATTCAATAACCATGACCTGACATTATGGAGAAGCCCTGCATCTTGTGGAAGGACTGCATTGGTCTTGCCCATTTACCTCTTAGTGGTTTCATGCCCTTCTGTGCTCTTTTTTCAAACTTGTTTTCAACTTCCCTTTATGGAACTTTCTGTCTAATAATCTTATGCAGTACCTAGTTTAAGATGGACTTTACCACTTGATTTAGTCTGCATTCTATATTTTTCTTTTGGTTACCTGGAATAAAATCATTGTTTCCCTCAAGGAAACTATAGATTGACCTTTGTTTGTCATGTATTGTTACTCCACTCTCATAGTCAATTTATACTCAAGAAATATGCTTTTCTAAAATTTAACTGCATTCCTGTCTCTCAAGTAAACCTCATGTTAAAATAAGACCTACTTAACAACCTACTTTGTTTTGTAGCGATGAACTGTGAATGATCAAGATGTTGACTGAAGGAAAGGGAATACCGGAAAATGTTCCTTATAATTTTCCTGCATCACTTGCAAGTTTCATACATTTTAATTCATATCAGCATCTTGGCATGCTGAAAAAGATGGTTGCCCTCACTTTAGGACTCGGATAAATTTATAATTAATGCCCTGGATTCACTGTCTGCCACACACAGAGTTGTTGAAATGGTTGAGTCTTCTACTGCCATCTCTTGAGCACGACAGTATTTTTCAGTTTTAGATTGTTGCTCCAAAAGGCAGTATTTCCACTGTGGCTTCTTGTAAGTAAATTTGTTTATAAATGCATCTTTATGTTTGTTTCTTTCTAGGTAGGGATGAGATCCCGAAACCAAAGTGGAGAAAGCTCGTCTAACGGGCACTTCTCCAGTTCCAAGCCTGTCATCAGCCATGCAGAGAATGAAAAACTTCAGGAGGATGCCAAGAAAAAGAACAAACCTCATCAGAAGGAAGATGAGGTCATGGTTTCAGCAACTGTCAAACGGCACTCAAAATCACCTAGACCTACTGAACGAAAGAACAAGAAGTCCATAGAGCTTTCTAAAGAGGACTTGATAAAACTACTCAGTATAATGGAAGGAGAACTGCAGGTAAATTAAATATCTTTTTACTATATTTCCTAAGGGTTTTTTGTGTTGGTTTGTGGTTGGTTTTTTGTTTGTTTGTTTGTTTGGGTTTGGTTGGGTTTTTTTTTAGGTTGTCCAAGATACACAGGGCTCAACTGACAGTGACATGCAAATATGAGGCAAAGGACCATAAGGAGAGAGCAGTGGTAGTTGGTGATTAACAGGACAGTTGTAGTTTTAAGTACTGCTTTATTTACCATCTCTATCTGCAGCTACCAAAGCAAAATAAATTATAAAGGCCACAACAGATGAAGAAAGGAGCATCTGAAGGTCTTGAACACTTAAAAAGAAGCAGAAAACAACAGGGGGGTCAGTTTGGAAAAAGGCAAGCAAATATAGTGAGTGTAATTATAACCTGTAATGCAAATATTCAAGGGACAGATCTTCAAGTCGGTAATACTGATAAAAGGACTTAAGATGGCCCCTTGACCTTCTACGTATTCAGATGTTGCTCAGGGCTCAGCCAAAGCTCTGCCTGTCCAGCCTGGCCTCCAGCTCTCTGCACATTCCCTGCCTTGCAAAGGCCCATTAGTTTTATTTCTTGGAGTAGTGCTTGCTTGAAAGTTTTCTCAGTTGTCCCGATTTGCATGTTTATTCAGCTCAGTAGTATGTCCTTGATGGCAGACAGCCGAATTTTGTGCTTAACTCACATCCCCCAAATTTCCATCCAGTTTTGAGGATTCTCTTAATTGCTAATAAATCACTGAGCTCTCGGGAGTCTCAGCCTTCAGGGAAAATGCGATTTCAAAATAAAGAGTTGAAACGTGGTATATCAAAAAGTTAACATGAAGACTTCTGACTTTTCAAAATTTATCCTCTTTTGTGGTAGGACTGCTTGCCAAATTTATACATTCTTCTGTTTGCACTTTAATGATATTTTTCACTGAATCCATGGACAAACACAGACTGCCCAACCTGTGTGAAAACATTTATGTCTCAATCCTAGTTAACTGTAATTATTTAACATTTCATATAAGGCTTTATTTTTTCCCTGAAACCCACATTCTTAACATTTTTACTTTAATTTTGGACTTTTTACCATCTTATCTGTGAAGCAGATAAGGAGTGAAGCAATTGTTTTGGAAGTGATTGGTTAATTTCTTCGGTAAATTAGTCACCTGAATTGCACTATTATGACAACACAGATTTCATCTTATTAAGTATCACTCTTCCACTACTTAATTCACCTTCAGTTTGTCACAAAGTACTTTCAAGTTTCGGGAAATATGCATTCAAAGTAAGTAATTTTGTCACAAAGACAGTTGTTTTGCAGTGAAAAACTGGAGAAAAAAAGCAAGAAAATCTGTTGAATGCAATTTTGCAACGGAAAAAATATTTTCTGATTACGGAACAGTATTCATATTTCTAATGTTTCATTTTACTTTATACTAAATTGTGTATGTCAGTTCCTAAAAGATGGAGCTACCATGCAGCTTCAGTGGTGAATAGAGCCAAACCTCATTAGAAATGTATCATGTTCATGTTGTTCATAAAAATTTACCCTGAAGTCACCTTGGTAGTCTGGAAAGGGGAGGCAAAGAAAGTCACTAATGTTTCCTGGGTGGCAATAAATATGGTCTTTATTCTTATATCTGAGTAATTTTCCTGTTCAATACATGGAAATGTGGCTCTTCATCATAGTCTTACTTTGTGGGGGAGTTACACAATCTTTAAAGGACTGCTCACGTTCTCATTGTCCCTATGGGGATGATGGGGACAGTAACCATCTGCACTGTAATATGGGCTGAAAATCCTCATCAAGATGATACTTCCATTGCCCTGAACAATACTTTTAGGGATATTCATGCATACAGAGATGTTAGGCACTGCTGAAGCTTCCCACCATCACAGGAGGATTGTGAGGACAACCACACTGGTAGCCATAGCATCTGTTTTTCTGCTCTTTACTGCCAGACAGGGAAGAAAATCATTATTCTTTTTAAACCACGGGAGTTTTTAATTTCATTTCAAAACCCCCATTTTAGTTAGTTAGTTACCTGGTACCCATGTTGAACCGTTACTGAAATGGGCAAGCTACAGCACTTTGGCTTGAGATGAGAGCCTGGCTTTGACACTACAGATGAAGATGAGCCAAAGAAGACTCCAGCCAAAGTAAATATTCTGGTACTACCTCCTGGCTGTCACAGTGACCTAATGCACTGAGTAATTTCGTGGCTTTTCATTTTCGGATCTGTTTGGACATCTCTGGTGGCTGGCTCACATTTTGTTGGACTGACAAATCAGACTGAGTTTACTTTGAAGCCATTTCAGTACTGTCAATGAAAACATTATATAGGCATATATAAGATTTTATTTTGAGAATAACAGCAGGCTGTACCTGTAGAGAGATACAATACTTTTTTAAAGAAATAAATGGGGTCAAATATCATGGCTGTTTACTCAGCAGCTGTGATCAGGGGAGATTTTACGCCTGCACTACCAAACACAGAGCAGAGTGACGCTGCCTTGTGAACCTTGTAAACAGCAAGCTCACCCATAGGAAGCAATCTGGTCAAGACAACCATGGGGTTAGCAGGGTAACTGGTAATGTATACATATGCTTCATGTGCTTAGTTCACTACTCACATAATCTACAACATAGCAAACATAGACCCATGCCGCGTTGCTGTTGGTATCAATTTTGAGTCCTTACTTTGGGACTTGACCTCCCAGCTCTTCATTTTGAAGGTGAACATGCCAGTAAACCATGAAGACATGCCCTAGCAGAGCTGTTTGTTTTTTTTTTTTTTTAAATTATTTTAATGACCTCAGGTACCTTGCCTGTGCTTTAGCTTCTAGGGCCAAGTTGAACACAGCTCTGCCTGTCGTCAGATTTCCTGGCTGGACCCTGTGCACTTACTGAATATAGAGAAGGAAAGGTTTTCATAAACGGCTGAGGTCACCATAGCCTAGACCTTATTTTGTAACAAAACAAAAGGGGAGAAAAGTATACAGAAGCTGTGGCAGTAAAAATATATCCCAATATACATGGCAGGAGAGCTCTTAAGTACAACCTCTCTGAAGGAGAGTGGGAAACAAATGAACTGATGACAGGGATTGATTTTAAAGGCCTTATAGCTCAGTGGAGTGTCTTTTCTCTTGTGAGATCTCAGTGTTCACATAAAAAAACGGTGATTACATGGTCTTTAAATACGTATTGAATATATAGAGGCAAAAGTTCATGAAGGATTTCTTCCTAAACCTAGAAGAAAAATTTCCATTTTTTAAATACTGAAAAACTGATATGAAATTAAAACTTCAAACACCAGTAGAGGAAATTGAACCACAAAGGCATGATATCAATTTGCCTGGTTGTTACAGCGATTTTGGTCAAACTAACATGTGAATATTATTAATTACAGAGCAACACAGACAGTATGGATCTTTACAATGATGATATAATCCTATCTGTGGTTCACAGATTGTTGTCCGACGACCTCTGTATTTGTCCTGGCAGGAATATATTCCCTGTACACTTTCTGAGCAGCAGCCATTAATCTCTAGCAATACCAACACTGATTTTCAACATTTCCTGCTTAGGGGCCCAAAAGGAAATGAGAAGCAGTATTCATACATGTTTACCATTCTGTCTTCTATTGCGTGCTTGGAAAAAATAACCCCATACTAATAAGAGTACATTTATGAAGACAGCATCCCGCTACAAATCATTGGGTTTTTCAAGGAAAATAATTTCTTAGCCAGGTTCTGTGCCTATTGCCAGATGACAATTTAAGCTTGGGAGACAATTCCCTATATTTCACACCAATTTAAATAGAAGCAACTTTCCCACTTGAGGCCTTTATTATAGCTGGTGTTTTACTGTGTTTCTCCAGTGCAGAAATGGCATTCATCCCCTGCAGCTCAGCCACCCATTCCTGTTGAGGTGCCTTGCATACATTAGGGCTGAGGGAATTGTTTCCTGAGAGTCTGATGCTGTGGAGGAGCAAAGTTCTGCTCCTCAGAGCTGGGCAGCTGTGGGCTGTAAATGAAATACATATTGAGGTATCAGCTGTACATTTCCTCTGTTGCAGGTCTGAGGATATGAATGGGCAATATGTGAAATGTGATGTCTTGGAGAACAGTATGGCTAATATACACATTATATATACATTAATCACAAGGCACAGTTCCTGAGAAGTCTTCAGACTTCCAAATGGTCTAATGTAACACTGGGTTTGGACTGACTTTTGAAAGGAAACACTTTGTAGCAGGTATTGAGGTATTTGCATATGCTATTTGCATAGCATCCCTCCTTCAAGGGGAGACCAAATGACTCCATTGTCAAAGAAGCCCTTTCCTTTAATCTGTATTTGTTTAAAACTGCATTTAATGGTTAATTTGAGTGCTCATGCAAGGCATCAGAGTGATAGCTGCCCAGGAAGGATGTCTCCCCTTGCCTGGGGAGCAGCAGCCAATGCATCCCATGGCAATGTGTGCTCCTCCTGTATCTCTGGTCCTGGCTTGAAGCCAACACTCTCCATCATGTCCAGTTTGATTTGGTCTCTCTAATGAGGTTGTTAGTGAAAACATCATTCCAGGATTAAGACTACCAACCTGGGGTTAGTAGGTTAATTGCATTTGTGCCACTGTGAAACTGCAGGTTGCACTGGTGGCTTCATCAGCTGCAGGAGAGATTGTTGTAGGGCAGATACAGGGGATGGTTGCTGATGGTTGAAACAAGGTAATTGTGGGGGAAGGAGCTCTCTCATCCAACAGAGCCAGGAGGAGCTCACCTTCAGGTGGGCTGCTAGACTTTCTTCTTGACCTGGGTGTACCAGGAAAGGGTTAGCAGAGGTGGGTGAGGGCAGTGTGTTTTGTTCTCCCTGGTAAGGTCATTATGAAACATGGATACCAGTGGCTGTACATCCTACCACAAGGGAAATCCTCTTTCTTAACAAACTGAAATAGCAGCTACCCACATGGGTATAGGTGATCTATTACCTATTGCATTCTAACATTTTTAA